GGGCCTCCACGTGTCACATTCCACCCACCCAGAATTCCTTGCTCCCCACGGCGCCAACCCTTTTGCCTTCTTACATAACTTCCCAGACCGAGATGACGCAGGCCCCTTGGTCTCTAAGCCCTTGTGGTTGCAGTGATGAGCTCCCTGCCAGCCCAGCCTGGGACACACCCTTCCCTGGGGGCCCCAGAGCAGGTGGCAGCAACACACAAACCCCCTGGAGCAGGACTGTATCTCAAAGCCACATCCCCAAGGCCTCCAGGCCATGCAGAGAGTGCCCAGCCAGGCTGCTCCAGCCTCAGAACTCAGGGGTTGCCTGAGGCTCCTTCGGTACCACTAGTCCCCAGACCACTGGCTAATGCGGGTACGGCCGTGCTGCCTCCCATCACCCACAGCCGGAGGTGTCAGGAGGCTTTCCGTAAAGTGCAGGGCTTCGGTAGAGGTCCAGGCCTGAATCTGGGTCCCAGTGGAAGAGTAAAGCCCTTCCTGTGTAGCCACCCTTCTTGGGAGGACCGTCGTCCCAATCCAAAAATGACTGTTTTCTCTTGTCAGGGGCAGGTATTTATGTAAACAGAGGGGGAAGAGGACAGAGGAGAGGGCGAGACATCACCGCAGCTGTGTCCTAGAGGGTATGAGCGGATGAGTGGGTGGGTGGAGGGATAGGTGGAGGGATGATGGATAGGGGGGCGGTGGAGGGATGGGCGGGTAGGTGCTGGGAGCAAGCAGGGCGGAGGAGTGAGGAAGGAACCTGTGCTCGCTGCCCCGGCACCCACACCCGAGCTGTCCTGTGCTGAAGAGTTCACAGCACAAGCTCCAGGCCACAGTGGCAGCAGGTGCCCTGGGTGTGGCTCGGCAGCAGGGCGGGATCCGCGCAGACGCTCTGCCCTCCCCTAGAGCCCTAGAGGGAGCTCATCGGAGGGACACACGGAGAATGAACCCCCCCCACGGAGCCAGGTTTATCAGGCTCTCTGGGGTCCGCAGGCGCGGGTGGCCACACCCTGCGATCCCGTTCTGCTGAGTGCCTGCGGCGTGGGGGCCTCATGCCCCCCGGGTGCGCCCCTGCCCTTCGGCAGCCTCTCTCCCCACACCTTACGGAGGACACAGCTCACACCCTGAGAGCTTTCCCCCCATCTCCCCGTGCCCTGAGTGCCAGCGCTTCCCAGGGACATGCCACAGGGGCCGACAGGCAGGGCCCGTGCCAGGGCTCCGTGGAGCGGTGTCCCAGTGCTGGTCCTGGGTGCCAGTGTGCCCGGGGCGCTGTGGGGCCTCTCTCAGGGGGTCACCTGCCAGGCCAGAGAGCTGCTTTGTCTCTCTTGGCCCTCAGGAGCCCAGGGCTCCAGCCCAGCCCTCCCCAGGGCAGGGAAGGGCTGCCCACGTGGCTGCCCCCTGCATGTACACCCTGGCAGAGTAGGAAAAATGGCCCTGCATGGATGAGGGGCCAGCACAGAGGGGCAGCACCAGCCCTGAGCCCCAGCTCATGGCCCAGCCCAGGGGCATGAACTGCACCCAGAAGCCCTGCCCAGCAGTTCCAGGAGGGCAGCTCTGAGACTGGCTGGTGTGGTCAGGTTCCCAGGGGATAATCTCAGGCAGGTGGGGCCAGGTCAGGCCCACGGAAGCACGTGAGAGGCCCACGTGTAGGCCTGCAGTCTGTTGTGTAAAGGTGATTCTCTGGCACCGGGAGGGAGTTGTGAGGAGAGCCCCAGGCCAGGGGGCCAGGCCCAGCGCTGGCTCCCACCCCCTGGCTGGGTGGCCATGGGCAAGGCCCTGCCCTCTCTGCGTCATTCCAGGGAGGCCCTGCCAGCATGTGCACATATGTGGCTGAAGGGGACAGAGCAGCCCGAGGGAGATGCTACATCACTCAGCTGCCTGACTCACTGCGGGGCCGCCCTGCTGCCACCGGGAAGAAGTGAGAGACAGGAAGGAGGGTTGCACGCCCAGCCCACGTCGGGCAGACCCAGGCCCGGACTCCCTGCCACGCTGCCCTCCCCTGCTCCACCCTCTGACCTTCGACTGCTTCCCGGCCCCGTCACACTCACGGCAGTGACAAGGGGTGCACGGCAGAGCCATGCTTGTCTGTCCGTGCCTTCCAGCTAGTCTGGGGTCCCAAGGGTGGGACCCTGCCACTCCTCTTGGTCTTTGCCATGCTTTTGGTGCCTGGCACACAGTGGGTCCTTCTAAAGAGTTGTGACTGAGTGGGTGCAGAGCCCCCGGCATGTGGCACTTCCCCATTGATGGCTGGAAGTTGAAGAAGCCTCATGCCTGGCCCCAAGGTTGGGGGGCCCTCTGTCCGGGCACCTGACTTTGCATAGCCTGGTGCCTACCCTCAGCCCCAGGGCAGGGCTTAGGGAGCCCCCGTGCTGCACTTTGAGAAGGTCCAGAATGGCTTCTGTGCCACACTGAGCCAGGCACTTCCCTCTGTGGGCCACACACCCTTTGTGTGACTCCCACTTCCTGGAGGTCTGGGCCTTGGTTCCTGCCTCTCCCAGCTCCCAGGTGGAGACCCTGGCAGAGGGAGGCACAGGGAGGGGTGAGAGCAGAAGAGCCCCTGCTGCAGGCAGAGGCCTGGGCCTGTTCAGTGCCTGCTTCCTGGCCAGCTGAGCTCAGGGTGCAGGCAGAGCTGGGGGCTGTGCTATTCTCTCTCCACCTCTCCAGCGTGCCAGTCCTGCTGCCAGCATCCTGCAGGTACAGACAGCCAGGACCCAGGCTCTGAAAAGCAGCGTCTTTCTCCTGCTGGAGAGGAGGAGGGGAGAGGGAGCCAGTGGTGGAAGAGGTGCCAGGTTCTGCCCCATGCCCAGAGTGACCTGGTGCCAATCTGGCTTCTATGGTCCTCATTTCCTCACCAGTAAAAAGATGTTGGAAGGAGGCCGACTTAAGGGGCCATGACAATTTCTCTTTCCCCTGAATCCTGACTCCCAAGACTGGAGTCAGGTCGCTGCTTGCAGGAAGCCCTCCCTGACTGCACTGTCCCATGACTCCCAGTCTCTGAGAAGGCCTGCTCTCAGAATCACCCACAAATAAACTGTCTGGGCTGTGTTGATGGTTCTGCTAGGAAGCCCCCAGACACCTCACATTCTGGGGGGCAGCCCCTCCCAGGACAAAGGCCTTCTTCCCACAGAACCAGACGGGCAGTGAGCAGAGGCCACATGCTACACTGAGGTGGAGGTGCCCTGTGGATAGGCCAAGCGCAGGGCCCTCTCCAGCCCCAGGTGAGACCTCCACTCCTGGTTTGCACAGTGTCCTTGGACCAGGTCCAGCAGGAAATCCAATCCCTCAAACTTGTTTTTCCAGCAGCTTCCATGCTCTTGGTGCAAGTGAGTCACCTCTGCACAGCCGTCACCCCTACCCCATGCCAGTTACCACCCTGTCCCTGAGCCCTGTGTCCTGTTTCCCAAGGCCTGGGAAGTGTCCTCCCTCTCACCCGCCTCTGAGTGTCCATGCCTGATGGACATGGGGAGGTCTCAGAGCTTGGAGCAACCTTTTCTCTCTGGGTGTGGGCAGGGTGACCACCACATTACTTGCCTCATCAAGCAAGATGCCAGCCGCCCTAAACCAGGCCCCCAGGAGCCTGGGAACAGTTTGCAGGGCTGCGGAAGTGCTGCTGTGGGGCTGGCTGGGGAGCTCCCACACGCACACCCCAGGGTCCCTGGAGGCACTGCCACACTGCCCCTCCGCCTTTGGCCAGGTCCCACCAGGTCCAGTAACTGTGTCTGGGAGGGCAGCACCTCTTTAGACCCTGGCACTGAAATGTGGCCCTGACTTACCCGCATGTGGCAGGGGAGAGGAGTCCGCTTGCCCAGGGGCAGGCTGGAAGGAGGGCCTGGGGATGGGAAGCCCAGATCTGATAGGCCACAGCCCACTATGCCCCCGAGAGCCTTAGACTAGCCTTGACCCCTGCCCTCCCTCCAGCAAGCGTTGCTCACCCCCTTTCCTCCACCTGCCATCCTCACTGGCACTTCTCCACAGGCAGGGGTGGTGGCTGGGGTAGGCCCAGGGCTGATCTCTGTCTGTGCCCTGGTCTCGCCATCAGTGTAGCCCGCAGGGCAGGGGCAGGACAAGCCTCTGTGGGGCCCACCCATGCCACCAGCAGGGTCCACCTAGCATGGCAGGGCAACAGTAGGGTACCAGGGCCAGCAAGCCGACAGGGAAAACGGGAGAGGGGCACTGTGCCCAAAGGCTCTGGGAGTCTCTCCTGGGAGCAGCACAAGAGGGTGGAGGTGGGAGGGGTCTGCCCAGCAGCCTTCTGCCAGACCCTGCAGGCGGTAGGGCCCTGGGCGCCGGGCCAGGACGAGCTCATGGCCTTGCAGGGACCAGAGCCAGACCCAGAGCAGGAGGAAGGCAGCTGCTCCTCGAGGAGGGCAGGTCCCAGAACGTGTGAAGGGAGCCACTGGATGGGGGTCCTGGGGCCACAGAGGGTGGGAGGCAGGGTTGGGGGGGACTCGAGGGGCACCCGCCCCTCCTCCACTGATGCATCAGCTCCTGCCCTGGCCAGGGCTTCCCTCTCTGCAGGCACACCCAGCGCCTGCCCCTGTCCCAGTACAGATCCCCCTCCACCCCCAATATCCTGACAGGACATTTTGCTTCCCTGGGGGTCCTTTTCCCAGGGGTCCACTGGATGGACCCTGCAACCAGAGCCTTCCTCCTGTGTCCCCAGACCTGTGGGCACAGCCCTGGGCCACCCCCCAGACACCCACACAGGCTGTGGCTCTGTTCATCCTACCTGAGGGTGGCGGATGCGAGGGAGGGGACAGAACCGCAGAAACAAAGTGATTCAGGGATGGACCCAGGATGGGAGAGGAAGATGCCACCATGAGCTGAGGCCTCTGTCCAAGCCCAGAGGGCAACGTGGCCAGGGGCAGAGGTCCCTCCAGCTGGCAGGGGCAGGTGTGTGCTGGGCTGGTGGGTGAGAGCCGGCCAGGGTGAGGCACATGCGTCCTGGCTGATACCTGCACGAGGCCTGGCTGACTGCCCGCTCACCCCCGCCCCTCCCACCGGCATCCTCCCAGCTATAAGGCCTTTGGAGGGGAGGGGCTGCCACAGCTCCTGGAGACACCCCAAGATGAAGACAGCCCTACTGCTCCTTGTTGCCCTGGCCGAGGCCACTGGGCCAGGTGAGGGGCTGGACCGAGGGGCTGGGGTCGGGGCAGGGGCATGGGTGGCAGCTTTGGCTGCAGGCAGGACGCTGCAGTTGTTAACCTTTGGGCTCAGAGAATCCTGAAATTGTGGGTTGTCAGATTCAGAACTGAAAACAAAGCGAACCTCACCCTTTAACTTAGTAGAGTCAGACTTAGAATTTTCAGCATAAGAGAATTGGTCCATGGGACCAGGCATTCTAAGAGGGAGTGACACTGGGAATCTCCTCGAGATGCCTCCCCCTGGGGAAAGACCATCGCCAAGGTGATCCAGCCCCTCCCCTCCTGTCCCTGGGGCCCTCCCAGGTCAGCCCTCCCACAGGCTCAGCACACCACGCTGACAGTCCCGGGAGGGACAGGGACAGGGGCCTGTCCTGCAAGCTGCCCTCAGCAAGTCCCAGAGCTTGGAGACGTCCCAGGACAAGGGTCTGTCCAGGACACGCTGTACTGGCCCCCTCCTCACTATTCCTCTAGACAATCTGGGGGTCCCTGGGCTCCAGCAGACAGGGACTGTCCCCCCCGCCTCCTGAGGTTGTGCTCTGGATCCAAGCCCTGGCAGGGCCTGGTGGCCTCAGGACTGGCCTGGGGCTAGGCAGGCAGAGGGCTCCGCCCAAGAGGGGTCTTTTCAGGTAGTGATCCCAGGGTCCCGTGTCCCTGGGAGGCCTCCTGGGGGCCAGCTGAGACCCTGACACCCATCCCCCAGCCTGGGCTCTCCACTGTCACATGTGCTCCAGCTCCACCAACTGTAAAAACCCTCAAGCCTGCCCAGCCAGCTCCCGCTTCTGCAGGACCGTGACCAAAGGTGAGCAGCCCGGGGACAGGCAGGACATCCCGGAGCTCGTCCAGGTGCCCCGGGGGGTGGGGACTATCTCCGGGAAGGTCCGTGATGGTGGGGCCAGTGTGGGACTTGGGGTGCTGGGGACGTGCTGGGCGGCCGTGGGTTGGGGGTACTGTCCAGCTTGACCACGCCCCCGTCCCCAGTGGAGCCTCTGCGGGGGAACCTGGTGGAGAAGAGTTGCGAGGAGTCCTGCACGCCCTCGTACCACCTGCAGGGCCAGGTCAGCAGTGGTGCGGCCTCCACACTCTGCTGCCAGGAGGACCTGTGCAACGCGGGCCCCCACAGCCATGCACCCACCCGTGCAGCCACCTGCTCCACGCTGGGCCTGGTGGTGACCCTTGGCCTCATTGCCCTTATCTTAGGGCCTGGCCTGTGACCCTGGCAAGGGCTCCGTCCCTTCCCCGCCCTGCCCCTCTCCCACCATGATGGGGCCTCAGACACCCTGAGCCAGGACTTCCTTGGAAGGTCTGGGGCCAGGCTCTGCAGACGCACAGGACCGATGATTTGGAGCCAGCCCCTCCCTGAGCCGTGGGAGGGCAGGGGACAGATGGCATCCTGACCCCCTTCTGATTTCATATTCATTCTGTTTGGTTTCCTTTATTTCTGCTCAAACCTCTGCATGAAAATAAATGATGGAAAACCAGTGTGGTTGTGTGTGTGCCAGTCCAGGAGTGTGGGGGTGCAGAAGGGTCCATGGCCACATGGCCCCCATGTCCCAGGGCTGGGCACCCAGGGCCAGGCTTGCTGCATTCCTCACCTTGGAGGGGATACGACCCTCTCCCGGCACCCCCTCTGCAGCCCCAGATGAGAAGAGCTCTCCTGGGGGTGCTGAGTAGGAGCTCAGGGTGGAGCCTTCAGTGTCCCTGCAAGGCCAGGCCCCGCCATGGAGGCTGAGGGAAGAAGGGCCGCTAACCGCTCCCCCACCCCGGACACTCCCCCAAGGCTTTGGTCCAGGAGCCTCCAGAGAGGCTGGCTTGGGGCACCCCAGACTGCAGCTGAGCCTCATAACTGTACAGACACTGCCTACCCCAGCCATGGCCAAGGTAAGTCCAGCTACCTGGGATTGACCCCATCCAAGGTGAGCCGTGCAGCCTCCTCGGCCAACCTCATCAAGTTGGAGGGAGACGGTGTGTGAGACTCTGACCATCTGGGCTGGGTGCCCAAGGAAGAGCACAGCCCCCGAGGGCCTGGGCTCTGGGCCCTGCAGCCTGGATCTGAGCAATCTGAACTATTGTGCCTCGGTGGGCACCCAGCACCTAGCAGATGCCCAAGCAAGCAGCATTCCTCCCACCCCCAGGTGGAGCAGAGGCTGCAGGGGCCGTGCCCCCCCCTGAGCCCCACTGCCCCATGGCAGGCACTTCTGTGGTGGCCCCCCAGCAGCAGTGCAGGGCAGTAGCTGGTGAGGAGGGGTGAGTGGTACAGCCTGAGCCCAGGTCCCACAGTCACCCCTTAATCCCATACACAGCAAGGTGAGTCTGCACAGCCCCTGCCCACACTGGGGCCCTGTGGCTGGAAAGGCGTGGCACCCAGAGGAGGGCAGGCCAAACTCCTCCCTGAGCACACGCCCTGTGCGCCCACCCCCACTTCCCAGGGCCAGCTGGGTCCATCTGGTCCTGACCAGGCAACCCTGAGTGGGCACCCCAGTCCCTTGCCTCAGTTTCCTGTGTGTGCTGTGCCCTTGGCTCTGTGCCCCCTGCTCTGATCTGATGACCAGAGCCTGACCCAGTCAAGGAGGATCTGGCCGGGCTCACTGAGCAGGAAGCAAACAGCCCAGAGGCCCTGCGTTGAGTCAGTCACCGCGGATTCTCAGAAGAGCCGCACAGACTCTCACTTCCTTTCAGTTCCTAGCAAAGTGGCAGGGATAAAAAGCCCCTAACAGACCACCTGGCTCACTGCGAGTGAACCTAGCAGAGTGGCGCGATGACGGCCTCAGCCTGCAGCGCCCGACTTAAAAAGCTGCCCCCTCTCTGAGCATGCTTTCAATTTGAACTGAAGGCTGTCTCCCCCATCTGCAAACTGCTTTTTTGCAGAAAGTCTCTCCATGATCAAATTTCCTGTTTTCCAGAGGAATTGTCAACAGCACTCACCTGGAAGGCAGCACCCCTCAATGTCACCTACGGGTGAGGACGGCCACCCTCACCCTCTGCGGGGTTGCAGGTCAGTCCTCTGGTGCTCCCAGGGGCTGTGGCAGAACACTCCCAAGGGCAGGTCCTGGGGCCAGTGCGCCCCCTGGTGGCCACCAGAGAGCTCAGCATGGAGAGGATCCTGCCAAGAAGAGAGGATCCTGCCAAGAGGGAACCCTCTTCCCTCACTCAGACCCCTCTGTGTCCCCCTGCCCAGGGCAGGGGGTAGAAAGCCATAATGGAGCATGCGGTACATGGAGGTCGGCAGAGAGCAGAGGGCAGGGTTCACAGGCAGACGCCATCCTGCTGGCGAGGGTGGAAGTCCCACAGCAGGCTGCACGCAGCAGGGCTTTGTGACAGGGAGGTCCCCCCGGAGTGAGGTGTGGTCTGTGCTGGGCCAGCCCAAGACGGGAGGAGAGTGCCTCCAGGGCACTAGACTCTGGAGAGGACCTCCCCCAACCTGGAAGGCCAGGGTGCGGCCAGCAAGCAGCAGGATGGAAGGAGCAGGATTCCCCAGAGTCCCAGTAGGCTCCATGGAGCCTGGCCCCTAAAGGGAAAACAAGGCAAAGTGGGGGAAGCCGGGAGGTGGTCAGCAGCCCTCACATCCCCAGGAGGGCCAGCCGTCTCTGGTCTGAGTGTGTCCTCGAGCGGCAGGACTCCAGATTGAAGGTCCCAGGCGCAGAATGGCCTTGCAGGGAACAGTCATGGCTCCTGGGGCGTCTCTGGCCTCCAAGGTCTCCATCCCATCTCCTGGCCTCTTTGCTGCCTCTCTGTGACCCCACTGGGCTGCCCCACAACCCCTTCAACAGTCCTAGATGGAGAGGCTGGCCACAGGGGTTCACTAGCCACCCCCTGGTTCTTAGCACCCAAGGAAGGGCTCCTTCTGCCAGAGCCCCAAGCCTGCAGCCCGTGTCAGGACCAAGAGGTGCAGGGCTGAGCTCATCACGGGGCCAGTACTGACTCTTCTGGCCCATCTGGAAGACTAAGAGGTGATTTTCTCTTTTCTGTAATAGAAATGTTAAATAGAAATGTTAAAAGCAGTTAAGCACCATTTTCAGACAAAGGTCACTTTTGGGGCATTTTGCAAAAGCAACTGAGGGTGCTTTCTGAGATGGATCACCAGACACCCCCTGCAACCTGCTTCAACGGTTGTCCCCAGCCACTCAGGCCCACATTTCCCACCAGACAGGGAGGGGGTTACCCTGTCTGGTCAGAGGGACCGACAGGCATATGACCAAGAGCCACAGAGGAGGTCGGAGAGCCGCCCCTGCCTCCTGCTTCTCTGGCCAGCCACCCTGCTCTCTCTGGGCTGTGTATAAGCAGGCCTGGGGAGCAGTTGCCATGGCCCCTTCTCTTGGAGGTCAGCGATGCCCAGCCACCCTGCTCTGGGTGTGGCCAAGGCCAGAAGGGACCGAGATCAGCAACTGCCACTTCTCTCCTTCCAGGCAGCCTCCCACCTGCTGAAGTGGGGAGTCCAGACAGGAAAGGAGAGCAGTAGAGTCCCAGCCTGTGCTGGGGCCCCCAGCCAGTGGGGCCCCCTCCCCCAGAAACACTGCATGCCAGAGTGCCAACATTGTGCCAGGCTTCTGCCAGGGGACCAGTGCAGAGGAAAATGGTGACCACACCCAGCCCTGGAAATTCAATCAAGCAGACTTAAGTGGGGCCTGGGGGGCGGAGGCTCTGTGGGGTGCTTGGCTGAGGGATGGCGGAGGCAAGAGGCCCAGCCAAAGAAGGAAGGCAGGGCCCCACGTGGCCTTCCCAGAGCTGACCTGGTGCCAGCTCGGCCTATGTCTGTGGCTAATTTAGGGGCCTCATGCGGGTGCCATGGTCTGAGGCACCCATATCCTCTCAGCTTTGCCCCCTTGTGGCCGGTGCTTGGAGGCCTGCCCCTATCCTCCCCCCCATAGTTTTTGTCACCATCTAACATACTTTCTTCAGCTTAATCAGACTTAAGTACAACAAACTGTACATATGTAATGTACACAGTGAGAGGAGTCTCAATCCATCATGTGCCTGTGAGATCACTTTGCCCCGGAGCTGCCTGTAGCTCTTTATGCCAGCCCTCCAGCCCTTCCCTGCTCACCCCTGCCCCGGGCAACCGCTGCTCTGGTCTGCTCTCAGCAGGGTCACGCAGGATGCCTCAAGCCTGGAGGCACGCTGACACTCACCACATCCTTATCACTCAGCCTGAGTGAGAGATGCATCCCGGTCGTGGTGTTTGTACTGCCCCTTTCTCGATGCTGCAGTATTCATGGCATGGATGCAGCAGTATTTGTTTATCCACTATTGATGAACTGGGGGTGTTTCCAGGCTCCAGCTCTCGTGGATGACATTGCTGTGGACGCCTGTGAACAAGTCCTTGTGTGGACAGATGTCTCCATTCCGCTTAGATAACCAAGGAGAGAATAAAGATCAGAGAAGAAATAAACAAAATTGAGAAGAATAAAACAATAGAAAAAAATCAATGAAACCAAGAGCTGGTTCTTTGAGAAAATAAACAAAATAGATAAGCCTCTAGCCAGACTTATTAAGAGAAAAAGAGAATCAACACACATCAACAGAATCAGAAATGAGAAAGGAAACATCATGACGGACCCAACAGAAATACAAAGAGTTATTAGAGACTACTATGAAAACCTATATGCTAACAAGCTGGAAAACCTAGAAGAAATGGACAACTTCCTAGAAAAACACAACCTTCCAAAACTGACCAAGGAAGAAACACAAAATCTAAACAAACCAATTACCAGCGAAGAAATTGAAGCGGTAATCAAAAAACTACCCAAGAAAAAAAACCCCAGGCCAGATGGATTTACCTCGGAATTTTATCAGACATACAGAGAAGATATAATACCCATTCTCCTTAAAGTTTTCCAAAAAACAGAAGAGGAGATAACCAAGGGGAGGAACGGACAGGGCAAATGGCAGGTGTCCTTTGGTTTCGCAGGACTGGCAGACTTTCCTCCCAAGTGGCTCTCCCTGCTGTGTTCCCACCAGCCGTGTAAGAAAGTTCCAGTTGCTCTACGTCCTCACCAACACCTGGTGTTGTCAGCCTTTAGACGTTCCAGGACGTCTTCTCATGGTTTGCCGTCTGTATATCTCCTCTGACAAGGTGCCTATTCAAACCCCTCTACTCCCTTGATTCCTTTGGGTTGTCTTATCATTTGTAAAAGCTATTCATATATTTTAGACATGACTTAGCAGATGTATGTTATGCAAATATTTGCCCCAGTGTAGCTTGCCTTTTCGTTTTCATAACATCGTTTGGGAGCAAACGTTTTACATTTTGATGAAATCCAGTTTATTGATTTCTCCTTGTATAGTGAGTGGATTTTAAGAAAAGTTTGCCATACTCAAGGTCACTAAGACTTCCTCCTACGTTTTCTTATAGAATGTCTGTAAGTCTAACTCCTATGTTAGGTCTAGGATCCATTTTAAGTTCAGCTTGATGCATGGTGTGACATACAGGTTATGATTCAGTTTCATCTGTTGAGTCCCTTGGTTGAAGAAGTTATGGCCTC